GAATAGCTGCATACAAACATTATAAACTGTCACCATTTTTTTTCTTCTGAGCGTCCAGCGTCTGACTCTGAGGTCTTGTTGTACTGCAACAAGCTGAAGTCACGTCTTCAGTGCAGCAGTCTGCATTTTTCCTGCCGCTCGCTGGGTTCCCTTGTCATGGCAGCTCAGGCCAAAAACAAGAGTTCACTTGTAATTCTCAACAATCTGGCCTCACATAGGAAGGAGGCTCTCAGGACAATAAGTGACAGAAAGCACAGTTCTTCCTTCAGCAGAGCTTCTTGTTTTGATGTACTGCTTCTCCAACGCTGCACTTACATCTGAGATGTAGAGGAAAAGTTCTGCAGCTGATTTCCATTTAAGTGAAGTAAACCTCCCTGATATTCTTTGTTCACAGTTTGAAGCAGTTTCCAATAAATATGTGTGGCTTAAAAAATCTTAGTTGAGCTTTAATAAAAAAAAAAAAAAAGTGAAAGTGACATCATTGGGGCTGTATGCCATGTAGCCTTGCTTCAACATGAATAATTTACTAGGCTGATCCCACTTTTGGATCTGACTCTTTTTCTTTTTCTTCTGCTCCCTTTCTGTTGTTCAGTCTCAGTCTGCAAGTGTTGTTTTGGGTTAGTCCGTTGGGATGATTCGAAAAGAGTTACCAAGAATTAGAATGAAGTAAAGGTGAGGTAAATTTACAAGAGCGACATGCAAAATATTCTCCTCCTAAATCATCCGAATTTGGCCAAGTTAAGACGTGAAGCTTGAATGAATGTACCAGAAACCAAAGCAGCAGAGGCGTGGAGAGATTTGAAAAGGCTTCTTTTTTTTTTTTTTTTGCTTTCAGATAAAAAACTGAAAAGTGTGGCTTTCTTAAGTTGATAATTTGTCGAAGGTCTGTATACATGCTGGCCATGAGATTTACGGTAGGTTTTGTAATGGCAAATCCAGATTTGGAAAAAAGTTTCCTGAGTTTCTTTTTCAAATAGAATATAAACTTAATTGAAATTAGCCCCTTTTTGTCTTTAGATCCCCTATTGGGGAAAAAGAGAACAGCCGTTATCTGTTTTTCAGTTTTAAAACAAACAAAAAAAGAGAAAAAAACAAAAAGAATAAATTTAGATAACCTTTTCCAATTCAGCATCCCCCTTCCACATCCATTTTGTTTTCGCTTTGACACAGAATCAATCTTGACAGCCAGCATAAAGAGAGTTTGTTCACCATTTATTTTGGTCAGAAGTTTTGTATTTATAATTAGTTTTGCCAATTTAGCCATTTCATTGTCAATATAAAAATATATTGTGTTGAAAAGCTATAAAGATCTGGTGGAGTGCCTTGAAGCTGTCGCGTTACTTCCTGGTCCAGAGTGGTACTGATGGTGGTACTTCATAGCTCTGCTGTTTTGTGGCCATCCTTTTCAGTAATGCCCCAATTTTTGGATGTCCCTAATAACCATACAATTGAGGGAGAAGTTTATTTACTTATTTATTTTTCGACATTAGAAATGGAAAATGTTTCTTTCTTTTTTTGTTTTGTTTCTTGATTATTGTATTTCCAGCCAAAACAGCCAAAATTAGCTTGTTTTTTATTCTATTTTTTTCTCTTATTTTAATTACAGCTAATAGCTGAAGCTCAGTTACAATGGATGGATAGCACCTGGGATCATCCATTTTGAATTGCTGCCACAAACATCTAACCGTGCTTAGAAATCTGGATTTTTGTCCCAGAAAACACAAACATATTTTGATCAAATGGATTTATTTAAAGGTTCCTACGTTTAGGGTCATTATCCTGTTAGATCAGGGTCGCCAACTGATCTTCAGGATCTACTGTTGTGCAGATTTTAACTACAGTCCTGCTCTACCCCACAGCTAATTTAAATGACTGATTACTTCTTCAGCATGTCATCAAAGTTTGGCAAAGCCCTGTTAATGAGCCATTAATTTGATTCAGCTGTGTTAGGGGAGGGGATGCGTCTAAAACTATTAGGACAGTAGATTTCAAGGAGCAGTGTAAGGGCGTGAAATGCCGCCCAGTTTTTGAACACCTTCTTTGGCCCTGCAGGAAACAGTCCCCCAAAGCATAAGGCTGTTAGCACTATGTTTTACTAATGGGATGGCTAATTAGAATGTTAAAACAATTGTTTAGCATTTTTTATGAGGATGTTTTTATATCCTAACCCAGCTTTAATCTACATAACTTCCTCCCCAACTTGCCTGTTGCATTGCTTGGTCCTCATGGTTAATTCAAGAATAAAAATGCATGCATATTGTGACTTAAGAGTAAATGAAGCTGAATAGAGATGTATTATTTGTTTAGATTATTTGTTAATAATTTTCAATCCATGAGTTCTTAACTTTCTCCTAAATAAATAAATAAATATAAAAACATAAAATACATAACGGCTTGCAGCTTTAATGTGACAAAGTTCAAAGGGTGTAAATGATATTTGCAGGTGGAATTGGTTAGAAATGTGCTCCTCCATTCAGTTTCTGTTGCGTTTCTCCAAACAGCTGACTCCGTCGCCTCCTCTGCCGGTGACGCTCTCCCTGGAGGACTCGGAGCTGCTGTCCTTCTACTCCTCCCAGAGCCTGGCGCACCTTTCCTGCCTGGCAGACGCCATTGATGTGCTCTACAGCAGCGTACAGGGGAACCAACCGCCTCGCGTCTTCGTCGCCAGGGGGAAGAGCCTCATTGTCACCGCGCACAAGCTGGTGTTCATCGGGGACACTCTGTCCCGCCTCCTGACCTCCGCCGACCTCCGGGCCAAGGTAGGCATTGAGCTCCTGGCATTTCTCTAGATCATCCAGTCTAACACTTTTTTTTTTACTGAACGAAGAACAGATGTCTTGGTGACTGACCTTTACCGCCTCCCATTTCAGATCACAACTTCCGGAGGGAGACTCTGCCAATCGTTGAAGGCGGTCGTCGTGGCAACAAAGGGAGCAGCACAAAACTATCCGTCAGTATCTGCCACCCAGGAGATGGTGGACCGCGTCAATGAGCTCTCCCAGCAAGCGGCTGGGTTCTCCACTCTGCTGCAGCGTCTGGCTCAAATATCTTCTTGATATTTCTTGACGTTCTGATAGAAACTCTATAAACACTACATCTATATTTTAGTGTTGAAATGCCTTATTTGTCCTCGCACCACTATATTTCCATACCTTTTGTCTGTGAGGGAAGCCATTCCCCCTGCGCCACGTTTAGCCACTCTGCAGCTGTTATAATTCGGCTGGGTTTTCATTATGTTGGTTTCTCTTTATAAAGACTTTATCCCCCTTTTTTAAAAATTTGCTTTGATGTCGGATATCTTTGTTTTTTTAAGTGTTAAGTTATTGAATATTGAAATCCCCCTGAGGCTGAAGCAGTCCATGTGGACCTGTTATTTTGGGTGCTTTGCTTTAATATCCTTGCCATATTTCCTTTTCCTTGCACATGATGGCTGTTTTTCTTCCTTCCTTTATTTATTTAGTAAAGCCCACTCTTCCAAAAATAGTCCAGAAAGAGGGCCTTTGTGTTCTGTTCTGGCCTCCCTTTGTACAATGATACCCGACGGTCTTTTTTTTTTGTTTATTCATTACTCTGAGAGCATGCTTACTTTAGTATTTCAAAGGAAAGATCAATGAGGGGATTGCTTTCCATTTCCATTAGAGAACAATTCCCACTCAGCACATTCTTCAGTTAACCGTTATGCAGGTTATTGAAGTATCTTAAAAACTCAGTGTTTAGAGAATGACTAACGTTGTATTGATGAGAAATTACCTAATCTTGTTCTTTCCCACAGTGAGGTGGATTAGAAACCTGTAGACCGAGTTCACCTGTCGCAACACGTTTTGTTTGGATGTGTCTCTTTGCATCTTTTTTTTCTTTGTCATTCATCTTCATTTCCCACCAGATGCCTAACAATGATGCGTACTCATGTGGAATTAAGCAAATGTAAAAAAACTAAACAGAAAAAAACAGACCCTTTTGCATAGGTGTTATCTCTCACTTTAGGATGCACAAATGTCACACGCCTGACTTTTGAAACGGTCGGCGTAATGCATAATTTACCACGTTGACCCCACTCAGGTAAAAACTGCTTTATAAATCACACTACATCATCAGATTAATGGGAAAAAAAACACCCGGCATGTTTTTGAATACTATGTTGTTGCTGCTTACACTAATCCTGATCATCATGACTAATGGGGTCTTTATGGAGCAACTTGGACATGTTTACTGTTAAATTTAAGCTACATATCGTATTAAAGTCGGGAGAAAAGGGCTTAAAGTTGGGATACAGGTTTTAATTTTTTTGTAAAGGAGTGTTTTGTTTTTTTTTTGGTCATTAATGTGACTGTTCAGCAATTTCTGAAGTTTTCATGTGTTTCTTGGAGGGCTGTTGTTACATTGTCTTGTCCACCTGCGCCACCTTGTGGTATATTGAAGTATTGCCTTCTCCGGTTTTATTTTTGAGCATTATGATCGATAGTTTTTCTTGCTTTAACCCTTTTTGTTCTGGAGTTTCTTGTTTGAACGTCTTTAATTTCCAAACATTTTGCATATGCAAATTCTTCAATCACAAGACTTGGATTACAGTGTTTTGCAGTTGTTAGATATGTTTTTCTAACATTTTACATAGCAATACACCAATATGGCGATTTTCTTATCTAAAGGTTTTTTTTTCATTGATAAGAAACACACGTTACTATGAACACTACAATTGCTGTATGTATTTTGTATTTCTGCTCATAATACAAAATAGAGTTTTGCAACAAAGCAATCTTGTTTTCTGATGTCACTGTTTTAAATATTTATTTTACTCTTAAAGTTTTTATTTATTGTTTCCCTTAAATTTTATTGTTTCCAAATAAAGTCACTTTTTTTCTTCATTAATCTTCACGGGATAAACGGCGGGGCGGCTGAGCTCCATTTACCGTAATATTTACCGTAAAGCTTTCCGGGCGAGCCGAAAATCTCCGGAAAGTGTCGAAGTGTGACGCCGCGCAGCAGCCGTAGCGACGTCCGTCGGAGTTCAGACGAGCGGAGCGAGCAAAATGGCGGACGAAGATATTACGCTTGATGGAAAACCTCTACAGTCGCTCCGAGTTGCGGATTTGAAAGCTGCTTTGGAGCAAAGGAACCTACCAAAAAGCGGGCAGAAAAACACTCTAATAAAGCGACTTAAAGGGGTAGGTTTTGTTTTTATAATTGCGCGGGCTTTGGATGTCTGTGTCGAGTCCGGCTAAGTTCGGGAAGAAGAAGGCGAGCGACAGCATCGGGAGGGGGGGGGCAAACGTTAGAGGCCGTAACTGTGTGTAGAAGCGGGAATACATAAATCAACACACACGATATTACGCATAAACAACAGTAGGGACGGTCCAATGGTTCTGACTAGCAATACAACTGAATTATCGAGCGACAGCTTCAGTCCGGGTTTGGAACAGTTCGCTGAGCACCGTGTTGCACACTGTTGAAGTGTGCACCTGTCAAGTCGAGGCCTAAGCTGAGAGTAGCCAACAGCCGCACAGTGTACAGTACATGACAGCCGCCGGCCGCGCGCATCGCATGTCTGTGTGTTGGGGGAGGTTACGGGAGCGCGCCTCGCGATGTAAACATATTTGGAAGCGTCATCAACTGCTAAAGTGTGCACTTTTTCTTTCCAGAAATGTTTCCCACATATATCTAGATTATTTTATTAAACATGATTTTTATCCAATTAGCAGCTTGTAGTTTGTATAAATTATTATGGAATCAATTCAACTGATTTAATATGCCACCTGATCCTAGATATATTTTCATGTTTTTTCAACTTTTATTCATATATATATTGAGTTATTTATTTATTTATATATATATATATATATATATATATATATATATATATATATATATGGTTATAATTACAGAAGTTGTGAGGTTACAACGACCTTTACTCATCAGGACGAATAAGATATGTTGATGTTGCTGATCAATTAATCTCTCAATAATTTTTTGATTAATAATCAGATGGCAAAAGGTTCCTTAAAGATTTATTTTTTATTATTACAGAATATAAACAAGGTATAACTTAAACTTTTCCAATTAACAGATGGAATTTATATATATTTTTTTTTATATAAATTTGGTATTAATATTAATATTAATGCTGTAATTAATGAGACAGTCCTTTTTACCATAGGAACCTTGCTGTCTCGCAATAATCCGTTATCTCTTCTGACAACAGTAAATCTTGGTTTTTGGGGTAAAGTTTTGAATAATGTTTTTTTTTTTTTTTTTTACCAGAATAAACTGACATGTTTTAGTTTGATAAATCTTTTTTTTTATATACCTTTAGCTTTTAAAAAAAAAAAAAAAATAGAAAATACTCAAGTGAAAGATCCATAGGATATTTATAGGTTGATTGCTTATATAAAGAAGACAGAGTTTTAAACTCTTTATATATATATATATATATATATATATGTGTGTTTGATATCAGCTGCTACATGACTGCTAAATTATTTACAAAGGTGATTGCCACTTTAGTGGTGTTGTCAAAACTATCAAAACTCTGAAAAGTATTAATACTTAAAGGCTGTAAACGGTTACAATACTAATTGTGCATGATATCAATACTAAGAATAAGTAAATAAGTAATGTTTGCAAATTTTTGTTGGTGTTATTTTTAGATTTGGATTATTTATTTAGCATTTATTTGTACTCTTATTTGACTAATTCTGTTGAAAAAAAAAGATTTTCTATGTTGAGATTGGACACGGTGAGTTATTCAGGTTAATAAGGATATGTTTATGCCATTGCTTACATAATTTTTCTTTTCATTCAGATGGTATTGAAAAGGGTTTAGAATATCAAATACTTTCCTGGGATCGATATCATGTTTGAGTTATTAGTATCACTGTAGTGAAGATTACTTTTTTAGTTTGACTCCTTTCTAGTGATGTTTCTGATCTTTTTTTCTATTTCTACCCCAATGCCATACTTGCACAATGTGTCTGTTTTTAGCAGTTATGATCATCTAAAGTGGTTTTGTGTGTTGAAAAAATACTTGAGCCCATTTATTGTTCATTGAAAGTACTCAACTTGTTGACTGTTGATTTAATTCTGCTGATTGTTGGTGGATTGAATAAATCTAGAACAGGCAAATTCCAACTAAAACTCTCTTGTGTAATTGCAATTATTTGAATCATTTGCAATGTGTCCAAAAAAATGTCATAAAGCAAAACTGATGGAATTTAAATATGTTTTCAGCAGTTTAACAGATGTATACTTCAGCTTATGTCTGCTTCATGATGTTTTTGTTTACCAGATATTGGTGTGAATTAGTAAAGGGCAAACAGAGTTTTATCATCAATAATATCTCTTAGTTAATTCATAAATGTGAAGGGCGTTTTTGTTGTTTTTATACAAAATCTTCAATGATTTATAATGAATTATTTCACTTTTAAGTCTTAAAGTCTTCAATACACTCAGATCTTCTTTCCTAGAAATTTAATTCATCCATTACTTTTTCCACCAATTCCTTATTTTAAGCATTGAATCAGTTTTTGATGAAACACTGTTTTTTTCTTCCTTCTTTTTGGAACATCCCAACTCAAATGTTTTCTCCCTTTGTCTCCTAAGAAGGTACAGATTGATCAGGGATAACGGTAGCTGGCTCATTCTACTCAAAGCCATAATGAAGCTCAGGACACACTGTAAAAAGATAAGGAACTTTTTAAAAACTCTTGGTATGAAAGCCTTGGAAACATAACCCAGAAACCCCCAAAAAGCAACTCAATTAAACAGTTAATGAGGAAACATTGACATAGATTTTATATTCAAATAATAACCCTTATTTAGGTGGCTTAAACTTGCAGAAACTGTGGATCATGTTTGTTATAATAGGACTAGATGGGATCAATATCATTGCTGTGTTTGTAGAATAAATATTTACTATGGTACCCATTTTGATATGCAGTGAAAATATTGCAAATGAAAGTATTGGGCTGAAAATATCTGCACAAAAAATAAAAATAATGCAACCCTTTTTGGCATTTTCCTAATCATATTTAGTTACTTTAACACAATCATTTCATATTAGCAGGGTAGGACATAAAACAATTGTGTTAAAGTAACTAAATATGATTAAGTAAATGCAAAAAGTGGTTGCATTATTTTTATCAGCGTAAAGGTTTACAATGAAGATTGCTGAGTCTGTATATAGGGAAATAGACAAGCTTTGTTGTTATTTGCATACAGTGAAAACATTTTTCAGTGTTGCAGCGCAGTCTTTGGTGGGATAGCAACCAGGATGCATTGTAGGTTTGAGTTAGTGAACATCAGACTGTGGGATGTAGAGTATACCTTATAAATGGCATTTGGATTACAGAAATCCCTTCAAAGAACATAGTTTCTGTAAAATTAGAAGCTCATAAGTCAGATTTTAGAAAGAAGGATTTAATGTTCAGTATTTGCAGCTAATATCAGTTTCTTGAAACCCTTTCTCTGTTGCTTTGATGATTATAAACAGAGTCTGTTTTCAATATCTGTATTGATTGGGCATTGTTGGCCTAGTGGGTTAGAGCAGTGCGCTTGTGTTCTGAGAAGGTTGCAAGTACCTAGTTTGATTCCCACAGCCTCCATTCTGGGTTCCTGAGCAAATTCCTTAAACCCTGAATGCTCCCCGGGGCCCCCACAATGGCAGCCCACTGCTCCCTAAGGGGATGTGCCAAAATGCAAAGTATGAATTTCCCCATTGTTGGACAATAAAGGATTTACATTTTTTCTTTGCTTTTTTTTTTATTATTTTTATTTTTTATTCCCAATAGGCTCTGATGCTGGAAAACCTACAGAGGTCATCATCTTCTCACAGTGGGCTGCAGCCTAATTCACAGGTTGGACCTCTTTCTCTAAGCCAAGTTGCTCTGAAAACATTTCAACTACAGTTCCTGCAGTTTAAAGTTTGTTTTTGTGTTGCTCTGTTTTTTTGTTTTAATTTTTAGATAGGAGAAGAGATGTGTCAGAACAGTTTCATTAAACAGTACCTGGCCCAGCAGCAAGAGCTCCTACGACAGAGACTTGCGAGAGAGGCCCAGCGGGAGGAGGAGGCCGATGGTAAAACTCTTCAATAAACACTCAAAAGAGCCAGACAGACATATGGTAAAGAAGCAACATGACTTTAAAGGCTGCTGTGTGTATTTTTTTATTTTATTTTTTTTTGCAGAAAGCCCAGCTGGAGCAGAGGAAGATGAAGACCAGTCTGAAGAAAATGACAGCCCTCCCTTCACCAGCAAGGTCAGTAACCGGAATTAAATAACAGGAAAGAGAATCAATATTATGTTGTAAAGTTATGGTACTTTAAAAAAAAAAAAAAAATTTCTATATATATATATATATATATATATATATATATATATATATATATATATATATATATATATATATATATATATATATATACCCTCATATTCCTTATATTAGATTATGTAGTTACAACTGTTTATTTATTTCAATAACTCAGTTCTCAGGGACCTAAAAATATAGTAATTTCACACGTTTTTGTTATTTAAGAGGATTTGCATCTGGTAAAAATACAGGATTAAAGATTATCTCATTACATCAGAGCAATAAAAACATTTTAATACTAAAATGTGAACTTACACACATTAATCTCTTGGAAAGACCATTACTGGCTGTAGTGCACTGCAGCATTATGGCTTTTTTAAGAGAGATGGAGAAGAAGTGAACATAATAAAAAGTAATGTTAGCAGTTTGCCAAAATCTTGAATAGGCATCAGAAAACAAACATGGACAGAACAAACTACATGGAGGAAAACATTGCACTTGACTCTGAACACACCATCCACCTGGTAAACATGGTGGCAGTAGCGTTACAATGTGGAGTCTAGTGTGGGGTCATGGTTAATGGGAAGAAAAATGGTGCTAAACAACACAAAAAAAACCAAACATTTGAAACAAGAGAAAAGGTTCCCCCTTCCAGCAGGAGAACCATAACGATCCTGATCCTCAAGACTCACCCTCTAATCAAGGGGCCCATTTGAAGGCCTGACCTGAATCCTATTAAGACTCCACAGCAGGAACATTTGGAACGTTTCTATTCACAGACGTTTCACATCCAGTCAGTCTAAGGCCGATTCTCAATATGTGTACTTGTGTGTTCTCATGTGCACGTGTATTCGTGCAATGTCATCACCCTCAGCCCTAGTACTGTTCCAATTCACAAGAACAGAGTCCCCGGATGTTGTTCTTGCCCCTCCCTATTTACCGAGTATACATCAGAGCAGACTTGTCCGTTCGTGAGATTGACAGCTGTCCCAGCATGCATTGCAGCAGCTACAGCTTTCAATTGAGCGCTTACAGAGCTTAGAGTATTAAGTTAAAAGTTCTCTTTTCTGTTGCCGTTGTTAAAAAAGTACGTTTTAAGATCATTTGGGGCGAGAACATTATACTTTTAAGCATTACTATATGACCCGTTTACTGATTTAGTGCGTAGTTTAAAAAAAAATTCTGATGTTGAGAGGACCGTGGCATCCAGCGAAGCTCCGAGGATAACCACAGCCAGGGCTAACCACAGCTGTGTGTGAGTTTTTTGTTTTATTTGGCAAAATGTTAATTTGATTTGTGTTTATCTGACTTTGTTAATTATTATTCCCCCAATAAAAGAAAAAAGTAAGAATTTATTATTATCTACAGACTACTAATAACAGGAGGAGAAATGCAGCTCTAGACGAGCCGAGTCTGTGGTGACGTCTGAAGTACGCTTCTGTTCCAATTGACACAGATTTGTCCTGTGCTCGCGTTCTCCCCGAGTGCATACTTCCTGTGTTCTTGTCAATAACATACTTGACGAGAATACGAGTCCATACTCGCGTTCTTGGCAATTGAAATAAAGCCTAAGTTTTCTGCTTTTGTACAAAGAGTGGGATAAGAATCAGGCTGTAGATGTGTGAAGCTGATGGACACACCTGAAGCTGAATCTGCAGTTAGTGGTGCTTTTGGCAAACATAAATAAAGGTGAATTATTAAAAGAAAAAAAAAACTTTGTTTTTTATTTGAATAATAGTTTCTTTGTGTTCCTCTTTAGAATTATTTTCTACCTAAAAACCAGAAGACACAAAGCAGTTTGAGCTGCTTAAGCTTAACACATTTCTTCCAATGCTTTATAATAAATAGCTACTTCCCTTGTTTTCTATTATATTTAAATGATACAGATAAACATTTCAAACCTAAATGTTATTTTAAAAACCTTCAAAAATGTAATTTAGTTGTCATCCTTGTCCAAAAGCATCAAGGCACCCTGGAGCAGCCCTCTGGTCCTGATGTTGGAGGGGATAACTCTGTGAGTGGTCGTGGATCTGCTCCCGCTTCCCACCGCCGAGAGTCTACTGAAGCCCCAAGAGCTCGTTTGCAGCGCGGCCCCCAAGGACCCAAGGAGCCATCAGCCACCTCCCCTCCACGAGCTGTCGCCTCCTTCTCAGTCCGTGTCCTGGGACAGCCTGACATGCAAGGATACGCAGCCGCTTTGCCCCCAGGCCAGGAGAAGGAAGCAGCCACTCCAAAAAAAGCTCAGCCTGCGCTCAATCTCAGCCGCTCCGCCCGGAGTTCCGCTGAAAACCACGTTAAAGACGACAGCGACGAGGAGGAGGAGGACGATGATGACAGCGATGAAGATGAGGATTGGGGACCGGGTCCTGGAGGGGCAAGAAGGAGAAAGGCAACGGTTCCCTCAAAGCAGCCGGTGGCTCCCAGTGCATCATCAGCTACTGCAAGATCCAAACGCAAGCTTCAGCCTCCTCAGCACATCCCTCCTCCGCAGGTACACGACACTCCCATGCAGCTGCGTCACCCAACACCTCCCCCCTCTCCACCCCCTAACCTCTTCCCCCTACCTGACACTCCAAAGCAAAGCCCCCCAGATGATCAAGAAAGAGGAGCTCCAGATGGGATGGACTCTTTCCCGCCTCCCCCCATGCAGAGGCAAGACTCCGGCTCCAGCTCCGGCTCCAGCAGCCCCGAGCCTCCTGTGAAGCGCCGCTTCGGCCCCCTCTCACTGCTCATGGACAGGATGGAGTCAGAGGAAGGGACCTCATCTCCTGGGTTCTCCGGAGAAACGGCACATTCAACCGCCACATGTTCCAGTGAATCCCCTCTTCCGTCATCGGAAACAAAAACGCAACAGGAAGGAGAGAGACAGCTGAAGGAGGAGAGGGAGGGAGAGCGTCTGAAAAGGCAGGAGCAAGAAATGGAGAAGAAACGCCTGGAGGAAGAGAAGGAAAAGGAAAGAGAACGGCTGCAAGAGGAGAGGAAGCAGCGACAGAAAGAGGAAGAGGAAAAAAGATACCAGGAGTTGGAAAAAGAAAAGAAACACAAAGAGGAGGAGAAGAGAAGAGAGGAGCAGCGGTTAAAGGAGGAGGAAGAAAAGAAACAAGAGGAGCAGAGGAATAACCAGAAAGCAGCAGCTGCTGAAAAAGATTCAGACTCCTCCTCAGATTCAGACTCCAAATCAGAGTCTTCCTCACGCTCATCATCATCATCATCCTCTTCTTCCTCCTCCAGGGATAAAGTTCAGCCTGCCAGTCAGCTGAAGGTTGGTGCCTCAGTGTGGGTGTTTTTCATGCTGAAGGCCTCAGGACATGAGAAAGTAGAGAATATTCTGATAGCAACCCTGAAGCTTTTAACTCTTGATGAGGAAGAAAATAAATATATATAATATATCAGGGGTTTACTGACTAATAGCAATTTAGAAACGTGTTTAATGGGAAACATGTTGACACTTTCTGCTTATTTCCCTGATTAAAAACAATATATTTTTAAGGTTTTGTATAATGTTGAAAGGAAACACCATATTTAACTTTATGAGAATTTAGCAAATGCATAAATGGGCTAAATCTTTAGGACATGAAGCCCTGATCATAAAAATTTAAAAACAGAGTTTGAAGTTAGTTTTTAAAAGCCAAAAATGATAAGAATTTTGCATTATTTTAGTCAGAATAACAGGTTCAAAGTTTAGGGAGTCGCTTTCTATCATACTTAGATCTTAGATACTCAGAGCTCCGGTTTGAGTGTTTTATCCCAGATCCTGGTCAGGTTTGGGTTTTCTTCTCTTTTTTAAGTCCTTATAGTGAATCTAACTTGAAGGCTTTCTTCTTGCACACAAATTTAAAATAAGTATTGTCTTGTTTGCATCTTTTTTTTTCATTTGTTTTACTCTTATTCGTTTCACAGAAGGCAGACGAAGGACAAAGGGCAGAGATTAATGAAAAGACTAAGTTGAATAAAGACTCTGAGAAACCTAACCTTTCAAAAAGGTAAGTGAACATTAAAAAGATTTTCCAAATATAACCAAGTCTATAATTATTCCACAAAAACATTCAAAAACAGTCATTCAAGTAAAAAGTTTTAGATATTTTTTTTTTCAACTTAACACATTAGCTAAATTTACATTACAGTTCCTAGGGTATATAACAGGCTTAAAGCTGTTGTTTATCATGGAAGACCAGCAAATAACTCCTAGTACATGATAGTTCAGGGTATTGTATATGATCCAATACACAGTTTCATAGATGTTATTGTAATGTTCTGGAACAAGACTGACTGTTTTATTTCATTTAAAGGACTTTTATTTGCTCCAAACTCTCTCTGTAGGTATGCCTCTTAACTATACTTGTCTTTAGATTTGAGTAGTTTAGACCTTCTCCTCAGCTCTGATTTTCTACAACAGTCAATTATCAGTTGGACCATGAATATTTATCACTGTTTTGCTTTTAAAAACTTCAATATTTTTTAATAAACATGCTATTTTCCTATTTACTATTACACTGAAATCCCAGAAGCGGATGCTTGTTAGACATGGTTGAATAACAAGCTGGTTGTTCTGTGGTTTGCATCTATTAGAATCAACAAAGTATCTCTGGTTGCTACTAAATATGAGTATGTTTCAATCAAGGTTTTTTTTTTTTTTTGCCTTTTTAATCTTAATTAAGTTAGTTGTACAAGAGAGAAGCAGATGTAAATTTATTGTGCAAGTATAGCAGCTGATATTAATGTGCTGAAACATACATATTATTTTATAGTTTAGAATGATCGAAGCAGTGCGTCACAATTTGTGTGCAAGAAGATGTTTAAAGGAAATCAGTTTTGAGCTATGCATTATTTTCTTTATTTTTTTTATCCTTTTTTTCCTCTATAACTATTTAACTCATAGGCATTTTAACTCTAAGATATAGATCATTCACAGATAAAAACTCCCAAATTTGAGGAATTATTTAAATTAAGCCTCACTGAACTGTTTTGTTAAAGCAGGCTTTCTCTGAGACACATGCTGTTTTCATAAAGACATTAAAGGTGGATAAAAGGAGCACAGTTATCTATGTATTATAAAGGATAAGTTATATTTAGCTGTTTTCAGGGGGTTAAGCTGCTAGATGATATTAGAGGGGAAATCAATTCCTCATGAATGTTTCATTGCACTGGATATCCTTGATGTTATTTGGTCTATGGAGACATAATCACAAATCAGAAGGTCTTAAGATTAGCAAAAACCTGAGAGAGGATCTGAGAGAAACACCATTAAAGGATGATTCTTTTATTAGTCAGATTTTGGTGGTGGAGCAAGAAATGGAAGGAAGTCATAAATTGAAAGGACTGATTTTTCACATAAAAATTGTACAAAATAATTAATAGTTGAAGATGTCCCTTATAGTTCATTTATTATATTACATTTACAATAAGTTTATTGTCAAAAATAAAGGAGTTTGTAGTCTAAAGCATAATGAGTAGTGCTAATGGAGTGGCACAAATCAGGGATGAAATAAATTCAGAGGCATATTTGTTTTTAAATGATTGGATCTGTGGATGGAGCTAAATATTAGCATGAAAGCAAGGAAGCCTTCCAATGTTCAAGGACTAATAATATAATAATAACTGATCAAAATATCTGTGGAAAAATGCTAGTTAGCAGCAATTTAGCAGTACTCTTATTGACTATAATATTTGTAAAAGAATGTTGTTTTCTTTTCAAAATTAAAAGTCACATTGATTTTGTGAACAAATACTTATACCTGTGGAATTTGCCTTTAAAAAATACTCCAGTTATTTAGTTAGTTAGTTATTGGGTAAGGAAGAGCATCAGGGCCACTGAAAAAAAAAAGAAGTTAACTGATTTTTAAATATTTCAGTTTAATGTGGGGGAAAAAAATCTAAGAATTCTCACTTTTTTCTCAAAATTCTGACTTCAATCTCAGAATTCTGACTTTCATCTGAGTATTTTGGATCTTAATGTAGATGGGAACCATGAAGGAAGAGATGTGGGAGCACTCAGCTTCACTGACAAAGATGTGAGTTGTTTGGGAGGGCCAGTAACACATTAGTGGAAAATGATGGAATTAGGCGACTAGGTGATTAAAACGAGAGCTAGTTTAGTCTCTAAAACAGACATGGCTACGGCTTGATGCTAACATGTTTGTTAGCTTTTCTGAGATTAAAGTCAGAATTTTGAGAAAAGTCAGAATTCTTAAATTAAAGTCAGAATTCTGAGATTAAAGTCAGCATTCAGAGAAAAAACTCAGAATTCCAAGATTAAAGTCAGAATTCTAAAATAAAGTAAGCATTCAGAGAAAAAAGTCAGAATTTTGAGAAAAGCCAGAATTCAGAGATTAAAGTCAGAATTTTGAGAAAAAAGTCAGTATTCAGAGAAAAAAGTCCGAATTCTGGGAGAAAAGTCAGAATACTGAGAAAAGTCAAAATTTGAAGATTAAAGTCAGAATTCAGAGAAAAAAGTCAGAATTCAGAGAAAAAAGTCAGAATTCTAAGGTTAAAGTCAGAATTCTGACTCTTTTCTTATATTATACTGATATAAAATGTAAAAATCAGTTTCAGTGGCCCTAATCCTCCTCTTTTACCACAAATAACGGAGTTGTATTTAAGAACAATAATAATATTCTGTGCTTCCCTGTCCTTATATTAAAGCACAGATTATGTTAGTGCCCATAAAATTATCCGTAATCGAACTCAAGACTTTAACGCGTCATGCTTTTACTTTGGAAATCCGGCACCGGAAGTCGGCCACGCATTCTGTAAGGCTCACTCGTCCTAGCCAACATGGCCATCGTGCATGTACCGCATCCCTGATTCCGACGCAGTGTACGGCTTGTGAGAAACAGCAGGGAGCTCGTTAGATTTATCGTTTCATTTCCCCGCTTTCAGCCTTTAATCGAGCTAAACCTCCTCCAGTCCCACCGTGCCGATCCCCCCACCTGAGAGTGTTTCTTTCACGGCCGGTCATAATGCTGTCCGAAGGCAACAAAAACGGGTAAGGGTGAGCCAAAAGAAAAAAAAGGCGACGGGAGGCTTCAGGTTGCTGCTTGTACTTTTCCATCTATTGGGTAGAAATTGAAATAGATTTTTTTTTTTTTTTAACGTTTGTTCTCTCGCCGCCGATTAGCCGGCAGCTAAAGCCTGGCTGTGAAATATCATGTCATCCATTCACATCGGCCTGGTTAGCGTGTTGCATGTTCGCCCATGTGAGGGGAAAAAACGGGGGTGGGGGCGTTGATGAAAGCCTTTTGTTGGGTGAAGGAGCAGGAAGATTTCTTGTTGGGGGATAAGGGGCTGGTGGGGGGGGTCAGTGCCTCAAATAGCCTTTAATTGAACGAAACTAATGAATAACTGATGTCCTCAGAGATCATAGAGGAAAAAAAAACATTGATTTCTCTCACTTGTGTTGCAAAAGAACACACTCCTAGTGTTTCTAGCTCATGTTTTTTTTTTCCTTGCATGTAGATTTTTTTTATTTAAAAACGAAAGTGTAATATTTTAGTTAGGTGATGGTCTTTGCATTGTCAGGGGAGATCATTAAAGCAGACATCTGCTGGCTGTACACTGATCCCTCATGGTGTGCTATAATTCTCCAGCTGGTTCCAGCATTCATGATCTTCTCCTGTGGGAGCTCACTTTACCTTTTTATTTAACAGCTTACAAATGTGTTGGGCCTTCTTATCGGCTCATTCTGGTCATTTATGTTGGATCGAATCTCTTTGATCGGCTTTATTAGGTAGTTTGACATGTATAAGTGGATTTTATGGTCCCTTTTTTACAGCTTATGAAACTAACCTTCAGGTGACAGTTGGACTTCATTGTGCTTCCTCATTCCTGTCTTACCAGATGAGTAGAGAGCTATTTTTTTAAGAGGATAAGTTAATTGATTATTCATCTCTTCGCTAAGATCTTTATTGCTTTAAGGGCAATAATCATGGTTACCTTGTGTCACGGGTTTGCCCCCCTTACCCTGTCCAGGCCATAAAGGGTTGAATCTTTAGTTACACCTGTGCAGGTGTGCCTCTGGCCTCCGCTTTAACAATTTGACATATAATCCTTTACAAAATGTTGGAGAAATTTAGTACCGTTTGCTGAAAGGTTAAAAAAAAGCCGTGTTCTTTTGCTGTGACCAAACCTTTTTACTAAGCTTTAGTGTTGGTTGAACAGGCTCTGCTGGAGCTCCAGCCTGTTTTTACTTTTTTAGGCCCTCGTCCGGAAGAGTCTTTGAAATGATGCCAGGAGGCATCTTTTGTATTTTAAGAAAAAAAAATGCAAAGGTCGACTGGTGAAGCATCTTGCAGTGAATCTACGGCTTATTTCAAATCTTTGAGCTGCTAAAAGCACTTTTAATGGATTTTATTTATACTTAAGATAATATAATGTAACATTATGCATGAATAGTATTAAAAAATTGCCGTTGGTGCCCAACTGTAATGGAAAATCATCTGCATTCAGTTTAGATGAACCAAAGAAAATATAATTGAATGGAAAAGGGCCTTACAGTACTTTACATTCAAGTACCTCATTCATTTAAAGGTCACATTTTTCCTTTTGTCCTTCCTTATCAGGGCATGTTTCTACATGCTGTACAGACTAATCATAGCTTTGTTTTCCATTTAAAAGTATCTTGATATTATTGGAATATTTGTATTACTATAGGTCATTTTGCATCATCTTTAGTCTCATTTCACCAATCTAAAGGCAACTCCTTCTGTTCTGTTTCACATAGTTTGCATTTTTTCAGTTTTCTGTTATGCAAACAGTGACATATAGTTCCAGGGAGCCCAAAGCAGTGAAGGAATCAGAGAAGAGAGATAAGGAAGGGTTGCCGGAGGATTAAAACCTCCCACCTACAGGGTGCTGCTTCTGTCAAACCATGAAGGTAGAAGCCTCTGCTGTTGCTGCCGGAGTGGGTTTATCGTTGGCTAAAAATAAAATGTTTCCTGGGTTGTTTGTTTATAAAAAGTATTAAAATGCTCAATTAGAGCGGGCCTGTGTGAGGTCTGATTGGTTAGCACGGTGAAGGTTCAGCTGAGAGACCCCCTGACGGATCAGATAAAGACCACCCACAGCCTCCTCTATGAGTGTACGTCTAGAGTATGAGTCGGTTTGTGACCCTGGGTGTCAGTTAGCGGGCGAGGTATTTATAGCAGCGGTGACCCAGATCACCAGCCTCCAGCGCCCCTTCTTCTTCTGACTTCCTGCTTCTCCCCCCGTCTTGACCTACTCATGTTGTGTCCTGCTGCACAAACAAACCCTCATACAGCCCGGCGTAAAACGCAGGCTAACAGTCATGTTGAGGACTTTAGTTAAACGCTCACGAATGTTCAACGTGCTGCGATTTGTCTCCTTGACTGTGGTTTGGTTCCCTGCAGGGAGGTGTCCGAGCCCAGCACAGCTGCCGTTACCGAGGTGGAACCGGACTCTGAGAGCTCCATGGCCCAGCAGCCAGCATCTGGGGCTGAGCCTGAGAGCAGCGAGAGCCGCACGGAGGAGGTAAGGTCACTGGGAAGGTTGTGGGTGTTTTTTTTTTTGTCTTTTATTTTTTGGGGTCTTGGCTCTATCTCCCACTAACCTGCATCCTCACTCATGTGAAAGCATGTTTCATGAGCAATGCTGGGGGAGGGTCACTCAAAACCAACCTAGCCCTGAAGTTTGATCAAACATAAAACTGAACTTTTTTTTTCTTTTGATACTTTTCAATACAAAAGTAGTTGCAAAACTTAAACAGACACATTTTAAATTTGATCTTCAGATAATCACTGAAACCAAAGGGGCTGAGTTGGACTTGGGTCTTGGAGGTATTGGGAATTAACTCATTCCTTCCATCTGCTATTAACGCATCTTCCAACTTCCTGGCAAGCTTATTCATGCGGATGGTCCCACACGCATCTGTTGTCTGTCTGCTCCATGCGCCGATAGGTTACGTGCTGCTATATTGGAGCGGAGCGTTCATGTTTCAGGGCGGGCTTCCATTGTATCTCTCCTAATGTCCTGTGAGGAAAAACGTTTGATTTAAAAGCTCTCACTCTGCGAGATAGCAGCTATTGCTTAGTAATTGGATTCAGCAGTGCTGCTGTATTTGACTGCAGCAGGAGCCTCTTATTGAGCTCCCACTGGCTGCAGATGTTGTTGTTTTTTTATTTTCCTCCTGTCCTGATGCACCATTTCAGACCTACCATCAGATCCTGGTTGTCTAAAAATGCCACGGCAGTTAGGAACTACAAAACCAACCTAAGACTGAATGCTAATTGCGTGATATACTTAATTAAATCAAGTATGCATCCAGCATCAAATTAGGCAGAGCCCGTTGCTGTAATGGTGAGCCGCTGGAAAAAGATCATAAATGGAGTGAAAATGAGTTTCTTGTTGTCTAGGATTTATTTCAAATATGGATGCTTTAATTTAATATGGACAAAAGATAAGTTAAAAAAAGCATATTTCTTTCAGATGACCTGTAGAGTATTCATTTATTTATTTCTGAAAGGGGGGATATGGCAGGTTAGACATGGAAGAATCAGCCAGGAAAGCCTGATTGTTTGATCTCTTCTTTCCATTTTCTCCCCGTACCATACTCGATACGTTTCCTTACTAATTGTTTAGCTTTGGGTGCTGTAATGGATGCATTTCACGCTTGTGCAGAACTACTTCATATCCTACTTTAATCAGGGCATGCTCTTCCAGATGGTTTGCTTCTTTACATTAAATAAAGGATGCTTAGTAAGAGGTGCAGAAACAGTTTCTTCCTCAGCGTTCACATCACTGCTCAGTCTTAAGTAGTAGAGAAGCAGGAAGAAAATCTATCGATCAGAGGTGTTTTAATCGAGATTAGTAGATATATTAGTTTTGGATCTATGTTGTGGCATTTGTCAGCGTGTGGCTTCTATCGTTCTACCTGTTTTGGGTTTGCATGGATGATGGATGTTAACAGTGTGTGCACGCCGAGCTGCATGATGAAGCTTGCTGCTGTTCCTTTCACACTGTTGTCACTTCCTTTCTTTTCCTGTCTTGCTTTGATTTCCCTTTCCTGCTGCTCTCTTCTCTTCTCTGTCCATTATTTGCCTCCGTGTCCCTTTATGATCGCTTCTCTCTCTGTCTCTCTCTCTCACTATATATTGATGGTGTGATTGCTGTTTTAAAACCCCATGATTGCTTTGTTATGAAGGTGCCCATGCCTCTTCCATTGTCCCTATTGGTACCTGCTGAGTACTACTACTACCACCACCACCACCAACAACACCTCTTCCACTCCTACTCCTTCTACAACTCCCGCCCCGCTTTGTGCGCCGATGGTACCTGAGTTAGGCCCAGAGTCTGCAACCCCACGACACTGAGTTAAACCTGAGCCAGCAGGAGGCGGAGCTCGCATCAGCAGCAGCCTTGGTAACCGCAGCAGTTCGCGGTTACCATGGGTACCATTTTGAACAAAACTGGACTGTTACGCACTCCTTATTCTCCCCTGCTTCTGCTGCAACCATGTGAACGAGAAACGAAGCCTCGAGGCGTCGTCCTCAGGAAAAACTCCAGCTTGGATTTAAACTCTGGCAATAATCTGATGCTCGCCCCTCTGCTGGTGCCGTGCAGTACTGACTTTGGACTGAGAATCAATGCTGTACTTGATGCGGGTGGAAACTTTAAACATCCTCAAAGAGAATCTTTTATTTATGGACGATTCAGTCACTCAGATCATGACAGTCATGTTGACCCTTTGAGACGGGGAAAGTTGAGCCTGTTCAGCCAATGCCTGGCCTGGACACACCATTCCTTCAGAGACTGTTTTCTACCATGAAAATGTGTCAAAGCTGCCACCTGAAAGGACGCTCTGCTTTTATTCACTCTGGGCGCACAGAAACCCCGATGAAGCCTCCTTTGCCCAGATCCACACCAACAACTGACTAGAACAACTGTTCTCATGGAAACCGGGATGCTCTGACTCTGATCTGCTGCTGCCTACTGGTGTTCATCCATTGTCAGAGCCTCATCCTGCATTCAGCACCAGCGCTACTCCAAGTCTGTTATTTTCACTGCTTTCCTGGATTATTAATTTATAAAGACTTTGTTATTTCACCTTCTAAGAGACTCATAGACAATCGACAGAAAAGAAAATCTTGCTGCTGATTTTTCTCTGGGCTCTATGGGACAATTTTGAAAATATTTGCCAAAGTTTTTGTTTTTTTGGTGCTCACACCTCAGAGACTCTAACTCCATCAGCATCCACCAAGCGACACTGAAAGCTGTGCTTCCTAAAAAGACTGAAATGTGACTGTGAGCAGCAGTAAAGCCCAGAGAAAGTCTTCCCCTGCCCCCCCAGTTCGAGTCCGACCCAGTGACCACTTCCTGCCTGCTGGTTAATCTGCACTCTGAAACCGAGCCCTGCACTCACTGCTCTGCCTTCTCTGATTGGAGCCTTGTTTCCTAGACACAGTGCACACTGTGGTGCGGTTGGGCCATAGTCAATCCAGTAAGGAATCAGGTCTTGAATGGTACCAGGAAATGACTTGTCAGTATTCCTTTGTTTCAAATGTCTACAGTTTAAAAGGATTAACAAAGTGGTTTATTCACCTTCTTCTTGATTTGATTGTTTCCCCCTGTATTTAAAAACATGGGAAGATCTGGGATCTTTTTCTAATATAGTTAACATTTTTAAACCACTACCCTTTTTTGACAGTTTATTTAAAAGTTGTAGTTAATTTGGGGATCATATATTTAAATACTGAAGCTACAGTATTATATAAGAAGAGGGGATTTTTACCTGCAGTATTAATAATCAGGGGAAAAGACGTAAACACTCAGTTCTCCACCTCTGTTCAACCTTTATTTGGAGCAATTATAGCATCTTTTACTGCATCTTTTGTCATATTTTAAGATTTAAAGAGATGTTTTAATCTGACTGACTTTTAAATTCATGTTATTCTTCCTTTCAATCCTAAAACTGACAGTAAAGATGTAGTTGCTGAGCAAAGGTGGATGACTCTGCTCTTTGGGTGTGGATCAGCCTAAGCACCCATCCCTTTAAGTGGCAAAGGTTTAGGTTTGCAGGTCTCAGTTACTCTAACACACCTTTTCCCTGCCCCCTCCTCCACTTTTTTTTTTCCTTTTCACCTCCTCTGTGTTGTTACCTGTTTGGGTCTGGACTCTGGGTTCTCATCTCGCCCCACACCCCTGGGGTTTCTGTATGTTCTTTCTGTCTCCCTGTCTTTCCAGAGCACCACTCCTAAGGTTTTTGCTGCTCGCAAGATATCCCTGTCCAGTAAGTATTGCATTCATATTACACCACTAGGAAATACGAAAAAGAAATCAGATGTTTTTGGTTTTAGTGTTCTGCTTTGTAGCCTGAGCCCGATGGCTTAGATGCAGCAGGCTGGAGACAACATCTGATGACTTTTTTATTGAATATAATTATCTCACTATTTGTTTTATTGGGCTAAATGAGGTGTTTCCTTAGCGCCAGGTTTTCACGCTTCCATCCTTAAAGCTGTGGTGTTAGCCCTGGAGGGCAGCTGCTAACGCAGCAACAGAGGAAAGAATATCTCCAGTCTGGGGAACAGCTGTCAAATAAAACAAACCAGTGGCATGGAGTTTAGTTTAACTACCAAATAAAAAAAAAAAAGATTATTGAAAAGCCTAACTAGTCTCTGCTTTAGGTAATGTTCTAGAGAAGTTTTATAAAACGGTTTTTCATCAATTGGAAAGATTTCATAGTAGAGAATAGAACAGAATCTTTATACGACTTGGTGTAGTAGAATAGAGCTAAATAGTTTTTTTTTTTTTTTTTATCAGAAATATACCATTAATAACTTCTATGAAAGAAATTCTTACTAAAATGGGTTAAAAGCAACTGACATGTTAATAAAATGTTTAAGAAAATCATCCCTGGAATAATCAAACTAAGCCTGCATGTGATGCTTTTGCTTTGCATTAACATTATACCGATATTTTAGCCTGATAAACCAGACTAAATGATTGATTGAATGTGTAATTTAGTCTGGACCCAATGAATGAGACATCGGTGGAGCGAAGGAACGTAGAGCGTCTTCCTGCTTATGTTTCAACGAAAACCCCAAGTCTAATCCTTTGCATCCTCCTGCTTTGCATCCAGAAATTCAAAACACATCTCTGCATTGTGATTGGCCCGCCAGTTCTAGGGCTTGGGGCATTGATAGAGGCTAGACCACTCGCAGGCAGAAATGATTTTGGCCGCTGGTGGGTGGGGCTAGTTTACTAGGCTACCAACATTTTTGTTATTTATTTATTTATTTTTTGTTTAGGCAAGAAAACAATCTGTAAGTCACAAATGAGTTCTGTTTAACTGTACATTTAACTTTAGATATTTAGATACTGAACTTTGAACATTTGGACCTGATGATCTGTTTATTTTTCAAGGGACAATCCTGGCCTTGCCTGTTTTTTTTTTTTTTTTTTTTTTCTTTTTTTATGGATGGATCTATAGTTTTCTAATTGCTGATTACAGGATGTAATTTATTAAATGCATCATATAACAATGTAAATTCCTGAACTATGCTTGTGTGTCTCCTAGGGATGGAACGGTTTATGAAAACCATCCGAACCGTTTGGTTCGGCTGTCTCGGTTCGGTTTGCGTGTGTTACGTTCGGTTCACGCGCTGCTCCTTTTTCTCATAGGCAAATCGTGTACACTCCAGAGCAGAAGGTGGCGGTACTGCGACCAAAGCCAACCACCAGTAGTAAACAAGAAGAAGAAGAAGCGAAGCAGCTTAGCTGGGTGTAGCAGGGAAAAAAATCAGTTGTTGTGGAGAATTGTGTGGGAAAGAACAGGAGTTGGAAGACGCGCCAGCAGCACTTTATAGGTCTGCTGTATGGCACCGCTTTGCATTTAGAGTGACCTACGATGACGGCGGAAAGAAAGTTGTGGATAAAAGTGCAACAGTTTGCAAGCATTGTGCAACACGTGTTTTACTATACAAGACATAATAGATTTTCCTAACAATCAAAATATACCGAACTGAAAACCGTGAACCGAACCGTGGATTTTGTGAACCGTTCCACCCCTAGTGTCTCCTCTGACAAGCAGCAGCAATGGGAAATGCAAAGTTGTGTCAGTAAGAAAAGAGAACAGACTCTTAAAGGAGTTATTTAGCTTAGTCCTGAACAAATGGTTAATATTTGTCTGTTTCAGACAGAGTTATGAATGAAGGTGGGTCAGTAAAGTATGTTTTTTATGGTATATTTCCAACTTAAACTGAGTTTAAACCATAATCTCCATGGAACAGCATTTTTTTTCTACTTTGGTTTTTAACCCTTTAAGTGGAAAGTAGAGCCTTTAGACGTGCCACAAAACTATAGCATGAACAGTTACTGCATACTGAGGATTAATTCAATAGATCTCAAATATTAGACATTTCTGGTGCAGTACTTTGCCCAGTTTGTCTTTTTCTTGTCTCCATGTGTTAGCGCTTTAGCAGCTGACAGAGTTCAGGGAAGAATTATGTAATAGATGCAGTCTTTCTTTTACAAACTCCTTAATGACTCAAAGTGATCTCCTTTTAGGTTGGTTTCTTTCTGTAACCTGTCAGTTTGTTTCTGTTTCCTGCAGAGTGGGTCACCTGAGTTTGGTTTTTTTTATTCTTATGGTGATAAAGTATATTTTTTAATCACCTGCAGGCAGCAAGGCATCTCCAGCCAGCACAGATGGAGGAGCAGGAGAGTCTGAAACGGGGAACGCTGCAGGGAGGAAGAGGCGATGGGGCTCCAGCACAGCAGTCACTGTTAAGAAGCCATCGATCAGCATCACTACAGACTCCCTAAAGGTACCAACACCTTGTTTAATGGCTTTACCTCTTTAGAAGTTAACCATAAATAGTTTCACAGGCTGTAAATTAGTGGGGCTTTTCTAGTAAACTTGCTTTGATATTTTGTTCACGAAAAGCAATGTATACCATGATCGTCCTCATATTAGCTTTAATGTTTTTTCCTGTAGGAAACAGAATTTGAATCTCTTGGTGCTGAAAAATGTTTCAAACTTTCAAAGCAAATGAATATGGTTTTGAATTTTTAATTTTGTGATCTCGTCTTTTCCTTCCACCCTCTCCTATCTCCTGACTTTCCACCTTCAGTCTCTGATTCCAGACATCAAGGTGAACCAGGACGCAGTGGTGGACCTTCACCCCGAGGAGCTGCAGACGTCCGGAGACGAGGAGAACTCTGACGCCGGTCGGAGCGACCCTGATAAAGGCCTCAAGATCCGACGCACCGTTACCCAGGTTTCTACCTTATTTTCATTTCATTTTTTTCATGTGAAGAAACATGAAAGCATTTAAAAGCTTTAATGCTCTCATTCTATCGCAGGTTGTTCCCAGTGAAAGCCAGGAAAACGGACAAACTAATGTAGAAGAAGAAATGGAGAAAACAGACGATGAAAAGCAGCCAAAGACTCCACGAGAAAAGAAGAGCAGTGTGTCTGAGGAAACGTCTGAGACGCAGATCACTGTCAGCCTAGATGGAGAGGCAAAGAAAGGTAAGCTACTGGAAGCTTCAGCAGATTGATACTCTTTTACCAGATTAACTGTAAAATCTTTTTTGCCATTTTATTTGATATGAAATAAATGTAAAATATATCCGTCTTTAATTTTGTGTTTTGTTGTTTGAAGATTGAAGAACTAGATTGTTTCTTCATTCTGATTCACACAGCATCCAAAAGTACATTTGAAATCAGTCATTAACGATACACTTCTCTCAGAAAAACCTTTAGCCCTGAAACAACTGTTCTGACAGGAATATTCAGCTCTTCATCTTTAGCAATAATAGACACCAACATTTCCACCAAGCTCCGCCCATCTCCCTACAGCGGCTAAGCTTTATGGGTTTATCATGTTTTAAGTATTTTGGTTCTGGAAAATGGAAGATTCAACGCATGTTGTTCCCTCAGTTCCTTCCGGTGAAGAATCGAAGTCTGTCGTTACCATGGAAGTGGATAAAAAACTACCAGGTAAAATAGAATCGGGGAAGAGTAACATCCAACTATTTACCTGTCCACCATCAGTTATTCCCTTATTCTTCTAACATTTTTTTTCTTGTATTTCTGCCACAAATTCATGGTGATTTTAAAAAAAATATTTCCAATTTAAACCCAACTGAAAATTTTCAGAAGCAGTGAAAGTTAAAGGAGCTCTGCTGCAGTTTAATTAAAAACCAGGTTCACCAGTCCTTTCCAGCTCTAATCTACCTCCTACTCAATGATTTCATTTCTTCATGTCTTCCAGTGACTCCCAGCGACAGTCTGGTGCGGCGCTCCATCAGTCAGCAGAAGTCTGGCGTTTCCGTCACAATCGACGACCCTGTTCGCACATCCAGGCAGCCCTCACCGCCTCGAGGAAAAATCTCCAACATCATTCATGTGATAAACCTGGTGAGTCCATTACATCAATACAAAAAAAAAGTTTTTTTTGTTTTTTTTTAGTTTTTATTCTGCATTTCAGCAGAATTAAGCCAGCAGTGTTTCCTAGATACTTTTAAAGTTGCTTTGGTTGCATTTAAAGTATAAAAAACACCTTTTCCATGAATGAGGTGTTTATAAAGTCAACGCCGGCACCAGACCCATAATTACCGCCAGGAAAAATTACCCAGGTGTTGCAGCTGCGGTCAGGTGTAATCTGAAGTGGAGCGGGGCGTGACTAACAGACGATAACAAGATGAGACATTACACATTCAGTCATCACATTTTTTAGCCTTGTGTCATAGAGGCAGCAGTCAGGGGCACACAGTGGTACAACACTGCAGGTTAGGTTGGCTCAGATCACTGCTGCTGCTGCTATATTCATTATTATTACTTAAAGTTACCTGATTAGAAAATGGGAAATATAATATCCAAACACTGATGGTGATTTTTGGCCAGGAGATGGCGCTAAAAGATGGAGAGTTTTTACTCCAAGGCGGTGTAATGCTAAGCAACAGAAGGGTTTAGGGAAAATAAGGCAGTGTACCGGATGATAAAACCACAGTAAATCATTTTTGGTTTGTTAGTTGTGTTGAATTAAAAGAAAAACTCTAACCAAGCATAAATAATCATGGCAGTCACTATCTATCCTCTAGTTCAGTGTCCTTATGTCTGCAGAAAATACTTTATTCCTCTTAAGGATGATAAAGATCCATTAAACAGTAAAATATCTCAACCTTTTTTGTTTTTTGCTATAATTTTTTGCTCAAAACCAAAATTTCAATGTCTCAGATAATTAGCATTTTACACAACATCAGTTAAAATAGATATTTTAATTTGAAATCCTTGCTCAGCTCTGATTCCAGGACCTTGTTTTTCATATAAAATGCAGATGTCATCTGAAAATCTGATTTCAGACCATTGAGCTCCAGTTCTTCTCCTTGGCCTCCGAAGGTCTTTGTAATGTTGTCTTTGGTTCAGGAGTGGCCGATCAATGGAGGCGACATTTGGATCCTATGTGTAGCATTTATGTTGGCATTCGTCTGTTGAAAGGAAAAGCTGTGATAATAAAGGATCATAAACAGAAATGACGGCAGCATTCAGACTTTCTATGTGCAGCACTCTGAAAAACCAGCTTCTTTAGCATTGACTACTGATTTGGGAACCATTAAGATTTTTATTTTATTTCTTTTAATGCTACGTTCAGACCACATGCGTTAGAAGCAGCCAAAAAGCAGCTGCTGCTTTATTTTTAACGCTTGTACGCCTTAAGGTCCGACGTGCCTCAAGAGCATCTTTAACACTTCTGAAGCGCATCCAGTAAAGTGTGTCCCGATGCGTCTCCTGTGTTCAATGGCAGAGAGCAGCTTTGCTACATTTGCTGTTATAAGTAGGTAAAAAATTGGTTTAAATATATTTTTAAGTGAGAAAGTCAACCTGAAAACTTCATCTGTGCAGTCAGGCCGTCAAGATGACCATCCTGCCTTCTAATGTTATTTTGCTGTCAGACCAGCACTAATCCCCCGTACACCGGTGGTGCTCCGTCACCAGGAATCCCCTTAAACAGCAGCTTCTGGCCCGGTTGCCTCTTGGGGAATTTCCTCTACCGTTCGTGGCGGCTGGAAGGAGATGCTAGTGGTTTTCATGTATGTAATCCAAACTGCAGGCACCAGAATAATAAAGGGGAACATATTTTGCTGGCAGGTTTTGACATTTAAAGTTAATTTAGGTGTTAATAAACTATTATAAAGGAGTGATTATAGCGATCTGCATCAGCAGCCCTGTGTCCATCTCCCTGCCAGCTCCCAGATCAGCTTCTCTGATTGATGCGGCGCGTCGAGCAGCAAAAGTTCAATTTTTCCAACTCCGGCGGCTGCTGCTTGTGAAGTGTGTCGCGCCTCAGAAGCTCATGAGGCGCTGCTCAGATGCATTAAGATGCAGGTTCTCCTGCTGCTCTGGACGCCCTGCTGGACCGTTTCATGCGCCTTGATCCGTCTCAACCATTGACTTTGTATGTAAATCTACTGCTTCAGTTGCATGCAGTCTGAATGTAGCATAAGATGTTTATGCTGCGACAGCAGGGGGTTCCAGACTTTCCTAAAGTTTTTCTTAAATAGTCTAATTTTCCAAGACACTGAATGGTTTAATTATCTGTTAGAATAAATTAATAAAATAGACTTAAGACATTTTGCCGCCTAATGATTCTGCTTTTAATATAGATTTACAAAGAGCAATAAAACTTTTCACAATATCAAATTTTATGTGTCTGTAATGAATTACTTCACAGTGAAGCTAATCATTTAACCGTCCGTTATCTGATCTTTACCGTTTCGCCTCCTATTTGCGGCTCTGAAAAGCATCACATCTACCAGCCAATAGAAACACTCCACTGAGTCTTCTGACGTTTACGTCCCAGAATATCCAACATCCAGAGTCTGATGGCGGCCTTTTCTCATCCCCAGGTCCGACCTTTCACTCTGCTCCAACTCAAAGAGCTGCTGAACCGAACGGGGACCGTGGTGGAGGAGGGTTTCTGGATCGACAAGATCAAGTCTCACTGCTACGTCACAGTAAGTAAAAAGACTTCAGGGCATCAGATACTTTCTATTAACAGAAGAGATTTGGTTAGTTCAAAGCAGGCGGTGACCTCTGGTCAAAGGCATTTACATCGTACCAGTAGATAACTGACAGTTGCTATGGTCTTTTTTATTTATTTTTTAAGAAGTAAAAACTATCATAATTATAGAGATACGTTTGTCTCAAACAAAAACTAATTATAATTTTAGAAAATAATAATCGTGCTGAAAACTTGTGTATTTTAATGTAATGAAATATTTTTTTAACAGAAATATATTAAAAAATAGGTTTTATCTAAATATATATATATATATTTTTTTTAGGCCCCTAATAGGATGTTCAAACTTTAATGAGTCTTTTGGCAGATGCTTAAATAAAAAGCACAGTAATTAATGAACTCAACAATTAGCCACTGAGCAGGAGGACCATTAGTAATGTTCTGTCAAGGGGAGGGAAGAGGGAACACAGGGGCCTTAGAAAGATTCCCTACAGCAGATATCAACACCTCTGCTCTGGTAGCACTCCTGAGAGGTTTCTAAAAGAGTCTGGATTGTCTGGAGTGTGGCGTCAGCACTTAGCCTAGTAAACTAGCCCCGCCCACCAGAGGCCAAAATCATTTTTGCCTGTGAGTGGTCTAGCCTTGATCATTGCCTCAGGCCCTAGAACTGGCGGGCCAATCACAACGCAGAGATGTATTTTGAGGGCGTGACAACAAAGCTGCACAATGCTGGAGAAAGCACAACAAGGAGGATGGCAACAACTATTGAAAAGTTCTCGTTTGACTCAGCTTTGGAATTAGTTTTGGAAGGATTAGATTTGGGGTTTTCGTTGAAACATGAGCAGGAAGAGTCTCAACGCTTATTCATTTTTAAGAAGGACATATTCGCCGTTTCTGTTAGTTTACACTTCCCCACCAGCGCTTCTTACGTCACAGACAGTTGCGCTCATTGGTCAGAGCGTTGGCCAATAGGCACAGACATGGTTTGAAAAACAACGGGTTGTTCTCATCAACAATCTTCCGATGTCTCATTCATCAGGGTGAGACTAAATTACACATTTAATCTCACATTTAGTTTGGTTTATCAGGCTAATCAGCACTGCTAGTCAGCATTCCCATGACAACCAGCCCCACAAAGTCTAAAACAGAAGCTCTGGGAGGGTTTTCAAGTAGCTGTGAGATGTTCCATTAGGCCCATTGTTGGCCATTAGGGCTAAAGTTAGCTGGTGGAGCTGAGCAAACAGGGGACAGATGTTTTCTCTGTCAGGCTGGTGTTCTGGAGCATTTGGTGGCGGTTCAATCCCTCCACCATCCACTCTGTAATCCCTTCATTAAGGTTTGGTTCATGGTCCCAGATTGAAAGTTCTGCTCTTCTTCTGTCCTTTTTCATTCAGTACACAACAACAGAGGAGGCGGTTGCCACCAGGACGGCTCTTCATGGAGTCAAATGGCCTGCTAGTAACCCTAAGGTGCTCAGTGTGGACTTCTGTGAGCAAGATGAGGTAATGGAGGCCTAAAAAACGTCTACTCCCCGTTACTGCTGGAGTCCTTGACTTTCTGGCCTAAATGTCTCATTCATGAAGCTCTTTGTGTTTGTTTTATGTTTTAGATGTTAATGTGTAGAAATGTTTTTGTTTTTCCACCTTAACAGCTGGACTATCATAAAGGCATCCGGAAGCCAGAGAAAGAACAGGAGCAGGCCATCCCTGCTCCTGTTCCTGCTCCTCCTCAGCCAAGGCTGCCCCCTCTGATGCCCGTACGGGACAGGGACAAGGAGCAGGACAGAGAGCGGGAGCGTGATCGGGAACGGGACAGAGGAGTCCGGGATCTGTGGGCAGAGCGACAGAGGGAGATGGAGCGGCGAGAACGGGCTCGAGGGGAGCGAGAGTGGGACCGGGACAAGGTCCGGGAATTCGCCAGACCCGGAGAGGAGGGGCGGCGATCTCGGTCCAGAGAGAGGGAGAGGAGGAGGAGGGAGAGAGCAAAGAGTAAGGAGAAGAAGACTGATAAGAAGGGTAAGGCTCTTTACCCGCATTAAACGGAAACACAGAGGTAGAAAACTGAGAAGCGACGTCTGAAATGAGCCATGTCTGTTTCCTCCATCAGAGAAAGATGAACCTCCTGCTAAACTACTAGACGACCTGTTCCTGAAGACCAAAGCAGCTCCCTGTATATACTGGCTCCCCCTCACCGAGGAGCAGGTGGCGCAGATGCTCTTCTTCACTTTTCATTCTTTATTCTGTGTTTTCTGTGCTGGTTAACAAACATGTTTTTTTGTGTAAACGCAGGCGAACCAGAGGATTCTAGATCGCGTGGAACGGCAGAAGGAGCGCGAACGAAGGCGCAAGGAGCTAGACGAGGAGAACAGCAAGAAGCGGGACGAGGAGAAGAAAGAGAGGCTCAAGGGGCGGGAGAAGGAGGTTGGCGCTGTCGCAGCAAGCGGCGGACCTTCCGGGAGAGGAGCCGACGCCGAGCGGAGCCGAGACAGAGAAGGGGACAAGAGGAGGGACAGCAGCCACCGATCCAGACGAGCCTCGCCGGTGTCAGGCAGCGGACGGCGCTCCCGTAGTCGCAGCAACCCCCGGGACAGGCGCCGCTGAGGGGGCCGGAAGCTGCAGGGAGAGGCGAAGAGAGGGAGGGTGCAGAGTAGCAGAGGACGCAACAGGCAGGAAGTCATGAAAGGAAAATGTCCTCACCGTCTGCTCCACCGTGCTTTCAACGGTTCAACCATGGCGCCAGTGTTGTCTTCCACACTTCTCTCATACCCCTCCTCCTTCCTTTTTAGCGTTCACATACAGGAAATAATTTCAGATATAAGGAAGTGTCCGTTTGTCTTCATCCTTCGTTTACTCTATTCCAGTCTCGACCAATTCTCTTCATCATGCTTCAGTTCTCCGCTGAGGAGAAGTAGCGGGGGGGCGTTTGGTTCTCCATGCCTCCCTCTTCATTTTAGGACGGGACTAATTTAGTTTCGTGGCCGCACGCTTCCTTCCTCCCTCAGAGCCCTGTAATAAAACCAGTCCGAAATAGCTCCCCGACCGTGACCCATGTTTTCTAGAAGCTGTTTTACTGTTCGGCATCAAGAGTCAAATATATCTATCTATGTATATACAACAAAATTTACAAATGACCCTTAGTGGAATCGAAGGTTTATTTTATTTTTTTGAATGCTGATTATTTTCTCAGCCGTGGATGGTTATGGTGTTGAAGCAAGTTGGTGATATTAATCTCTCTTCAACGATGCAACTGGTCTGATCACTGTAACCCGTACAAGGAGCACAGGGAGAGGAGGCGCTAGGCCCGGTTTGAGAAGGCAGGACAGAAGCCCAGCTCAGCAGCCTGGTCCGTCACATCTAGGTAAAGGTCAAAGGTTCATCTTCTGATACTTAATATTTGGAATTTTAATATTTTTAATTTTGTTTTTAGTTTGCTTTTTATTTTTTTTTCCTCCATCCAAGTGCTGAATGTACCAAGAATTTGTGAAATGAATAAATTGGGTTTACCACACCATTTGGATCGTTGTTCAAGGGCTTTATTGAAACGATGTCTGCTTTAGATTCTGGATTATTTTTCCCATCTAGTAGCATAATCTAATACTGGAATAATCTTTAAAGATTATTTCATTGAAATCCAAGATGACTTAGTCTCTTCTTTCTGGTTTTGAAACATTTAAATCATTTTTATGCCTAAATATGGGTAAAATGTAATAATTTTTTTTTCTAGCCACTCATTTCCTAAATGTTTTTTATATATATATATATATATTACTATATTCTTTTTATTAAACACTAAAACAGTTGCATTCTTGGCTCAAGATACGTTTTTTTTTTTTTTGAAACATTACAAAATACACCCCCCCTCCCCTACCCACAAGATCAAAAAGTAATAAAACACTCATTTATATGTTATATACACATATACATCTTAGACCAAAAAACAGAGGAAAACAACAAAATAAACAGTGGACTTGACTACAAACACAAAATACAACCACTAAATTGTAACATAAACACAGAAATAAAAATCAACAATGTATGTGCATATATGTACACTTATTCCTACCACACAAAAGAAAAGCCGTATTTATTATATGTACTTCTGTAGGTTTTGGCCATCAGATTTCGATGCTTTACTCTTAGGGATTCTCAGGAAGTGTCTTAAGCTTGACAATATTTTATTAATGGATTCCAAACACCATAAAAGCGATCACTGGACCCTCTTAATGTATATTTAATCTTTTCTAATTTGAGGTACATTAGATCAGACATCCATTCAGATAATTTTGGTGGGCAGGAACATTTTCAGTGTAAAGGAATTTGCTTCTAGCTATCAAAGTTGAAAAGGCTACTACCGGTATATCTTTGAACCTAGAGATACCCATGCTATCAAGTGGTATTGTTCCAAAAATCCAGGTATACATATTAGGCTGACCTTCTATTCCTATGATTTCAGATATCGTTTTATACACTCCAAACCAAAATGAGTTATATTAAAATCTTAAATCTGAACAGCACGTTCTCTGGTTGAGGAGCTGCTACAATAAGCCTGACTCTTATTTATAGCAGGGATACGGGTCTTTCTAGATCAGGCCCACAGCATCACTCCTCCTCCATACTCAATCAGCTGCTGGTTTTCCCCTTTATTTTCATCCTGCTTTCAGTTTCCATCCAAGCCCAGCTGGAGTGTTAGTTGTTGAAATTTCTAATAATAGTCTCATGCAACCAAAGCTTATTGAACCGTTTTCTCTCCTGAAAGCCTCCAGACCCAATGTAAATGGTTGTTATGGAGTTGGTCACCAAGACATTTCTATGCTTTTTGCCACAAAATCTCCAATCTGTGCATCAACACAGAACTTTATTTCACAATATTTTTCCCACCAAATGTTTACCATTGTTTTCAACTTGATGGACGTTGTAGCATCTCACGAATATACCATATCTCAATTACTTCTACCTTTATTTTTCCTATTTAAATATGTATGCTGTTGAGGTCTTGCTGTTAGCTATCAAACCTCGTTCAAATTTGATATTATCCAATTATGTTTTTACATGTGTTACCCAATATTTCTGTTATCACATTATTTTGCAGTTGAACTCAAATTTGAAGATGCATATAGAATTCTCATTTATCCAATTAAAATTACATTTATTTATAGAACATATTTCAAGGTACTTTACAGACAATGCAGTCAGATTGGTCCAAAGTTTGTCAAGCAAAACCAGATGACTGTGTCCAGGCTTTGACCTGCAAGACATGCTCCACCTGCAAGAGCTTAATGCAACGATTGATTGCATTTTTCGTCGACTCTTCAGCAATCCCTCACACCTAGCATGCATGCAGGGTCAGTGTGGGGGGGTAAAACTCCCTTTTCATAGGAGGAAACCTGCAGAACCAGGCTACATGTGAGCAGACTTCTGCAGAGGCTGTCTGAGGTTCAAGGACAGAGAAGCAGACATACAAAAGGTAACTCTGAAGCTCTACAGCCCAGCTAGGCACACAAACGCTCAGCCTATTCCCATGTAAGAGAATGAGAGAGCACATACAGTTAGTCAGAGAAACAGGCTAAGTGCCAACATCTATATACAAAGGTTTTAATAGCAGCAGCACAGCTGACATCTCTTGGATGGAGTCAGAACAGACCAGATGAAGCTACTATGAGAAACAGCAGAGAGATACAAAGTTATAAGGTAAATTAAAGACTGCAGAATGGAGGAATGGAGAATAGAGGTAGAAACAAAATGATCAAAAGTGGTCCCTATGTCATCCAGCAGTCTAAGCCTATAGCAGCTTTAAATAGAAAATAGCTCAGGATATCTACATTGGATGAGGTATGACAAAGGTCAAATCAAACTTTAGTTGTAGAGTTTAAATATTTCAAATAGTTTACGCATCTGCAGTAAATGAATAATCCTTTAAGGTTTTCATTTCCATATTTCGTAAAGGGGTGCCAGTACATGCAAATGATTAGATCCGGTGACCATTCACCATCTGTTAACATTTGCTTTTATTGAAATTGTGACCAGTCTCTGTAAGTACACAATCTGAGCACAAACGCAAAAAAAATAAAAAATACTTAATGTACAAGAAGTTACTGTTTCTCTTCAGCTTGCACAGATTCATGTAACACAACTTACAGTAAAGTCAAATTTAAGTGCAAAAGTTTGCTAGTCATAATGTATGTACAACATAATTCAGCAAAAAGGAAAAAAAAATCCCTTTTGTTCTTCTACAGCAAACAGTAGCAACACCGGGGTTAAAAAGCAGTAGTTTGTTCCCTTTTTTTTAAACTAGAGTACAGCAGGCAGCACGTGTGACGAACCAATCAGACATGAAATGTTACCAATGAAATGTCTCGACATCAGCAGTTTCATTTTTAAAAGATACACAAGAGACTGAGAACATGTATTGATGAATCCTTTAAAAAGAAAAACAAAAAAAGGAAAACTCCACAGCTGGAGCAGTCAGCTCAGTGTGTCGGGGGGGCGCTGTGAGTGCCACACACTCTGCTCATGTGACAGGAGTGGCAAAGGAGATGAGAGTCCAGAGGGAAGCACTGAGAGCCGGGCTTATCAGAGAGCTGCTTGCCACACTCCTGAGAGAGAGAGAGAGAGGAAGAAAAAACAAAATACTCGGATAAGAACAGGAATGCGCACAGAGGGGAAGGGAAGCCAGCTCAGTCGTTTCTCTGTTTCATAACATTCCTGGAAAGGAGAAGCCTTTTGTTGAAGGATAACTCACCTCACAGTGGTAGCACTCGAAGTGGTAGTCCTTGTTCATAGACACAACCCTGAGGATCTCCTCGCTGCCCTGGGAGACGACACGAAAGGTCACAGAGCTGCAATAATCTGGAGCACCTTCACTCACTTAGAAAGGGAGATTACACACATTCCCTGGAACCTGAATTTTAATAACCTTTTGGATTATTTTTATTATCTTTGATCTGATTTTTTTCCTTTAATTTCTCCAAAAAATTGTTGTGCACAAGAGCATAAAACCGACTTCAGTTCAATGTTAGAAACTGAAAATGAACTAGAAGTTTCATAGGCACTTGGAGGAAGAAAAATATAGTTAAGGGTTTAATAACATGATTAAATGAGCAGATTCATGTAGGAATCTACAAACGATCTGGAAGGAAAGTCATTTTAAGCAATCTAATACAAATGAAGCCTAATCAGAGTGTAACTGTCTGGCTCAACAAAGCATACTTATCTGCTGCAGTATACAACAAGATTGTTTTCTTGACAAAAAAAAAGACAATTTTACAGGAGCAGGATTATTAATTTTTTTGTAATCAGTTTCTCAGCTGAGAAAATGGTTACCGGAATTGCTTTCATAAATCAAATATCTGCCTGCTCCTTAAGCTCCACTGTTCTTTTATTTATCTACAATATCTACAATAATAATTAGCAGAAAGTCAGAAACAATTGTTAACCCCCATACAACATCATACAAGAAAAATAATTCTATATAGATATGTCATATAGAGCCATTAATTTAAAACAGGGTTTATGCAGGAATTTAATGCATTTTAATGCTCTTTTAATGCTCTGAGAAATCATTTTAATGTATATATGTATATATATAAAAACACAGCCAAATCCTTTGTAATCTTTACCATCCACACGCTGCAGCCATGTCCCGAATTTCTCGTTTTCCAGCCACTTATTTTAAAAGTTGCATTTTCTAATTCTCTATCTTTTTCTGTGCCTCGAGCTTCTGTTCCGCACTTATGGCTTTAGGATCAACCAGAAGCAGCTCCACGCAAACACGTGAAACCAGTTAAATCTGGTATATTTGAAAAAAAAAAAAATTTTATAAAGCATTTTAAATGCTAATTAAGGCCTTAATTTAAAAAATAACAATTTAATGACTTTTAATGATCCGCAGAAACCCTGTAAAAGCACACAGACAAAATATGTTGCTATGGGAAACCTAAAAGATACGATGTGGACCATTAGCTTAATGCAAAGAAGGGCTGTAGCTAACAATTATGCTAGTAATAGCAGGTCTGAATCATTCAATGAACCGTGCTAAGAACTAGTTTACCCCTAATAATAACTGCTTCCCGCTGAACTGGGAGCTTTTAAATCCTTCAGCTGAAGAGTTTACCATCTCTGCTTTTATCTTTGTTGGCTGCGTTTAAATGTAGCATCATCATCATTTCCTTCTCTTTCACATATTCCTAAACGATACTGCTAAAAACACTACTGAAAATAGGAAAATCTGCACAAAAAAAAAAGTTAAAACATAACAGATTACTCATAAGAGGCTACTCACTTCAGTCGGTAAGATGGGTTGCAAACAGGCAGCGCACTTTGGAGCAAAAGTCCTGCAAATGTAACATAAGGAGATTTATTTGCTGTAACAAAAAATATAAACCTGCCATAGAAAAAAAAAAACAAAGACTTCATCTCTAATGCATCAAACTTGCAAAAATAAAAGTATAGAAAAACAATCAACTCTTGTGCCTCACTTGTTGTAGTCAGCGACGCAGTAGATGTTGCTGTTCTGATCCACAGTGAAGGGCACCCCGTCCAGAGCCTTGGAGCAAACCACGCAGCGGAAACAGCCGGGATGGTAGGAGTTTCCAACAGCCTGCAGGATCTGAACACAAACGGAAATTATTATCTGAGGAAAAGGGGAAAAAATTGCTTTTATCAATGTGTGGGTGTTTTCTTTGACTACTTAAAACTGGGTTCAGGTTAGTTTGCTAATACATCTCACAGATCATACCGCCTTAAGCAACAGTTATTAGGATATAAATACACCTTAAATGTGCAATTCCAACATGTGCTAACAGAAACCTAGTGTGTTAAAAAAATGCATGTAGAGCTAATGAGCTAGAACTCTGGAAAAGGTCACATCTGTGTTATAAATAAATAAAGGGTCAGCTTCAATCAGACCAATGCATTTAAAATATTTTCATGTTTTTCCAAACTTAACTTTCCTGAATTCTCATTCCTTTTTAGGGGCAAGGCTGGACGGATAAGACAGAACATACAGGAGAGGAAAGGATGAAGGGAAGGAATAAAAGGAAGGACACCAAGAGGAAGCATAGATAGAGGAGGAATGTAAGGTCAGAGATTTTAAACAATGCGGTAGGAAATAAATCCTGGGAATATCTTTTTTTTTTTTTTTTAAAGAGGACTGAGGAAAAATGTCCCTTTAATTCCAAGTGACTGAGATAAACATCTTTATCCCTGGAACCCCTCGTGTGAAGAGCAGTTCCCGCGGCTCACAGGCCGACTTCTATTTATAAGTATTATGTGGTTCATATAAGGTAGGAAAAAAATAAATAAAATCTACAGTTAATCACCGCTCAGCCTCATTACTCTATTTACCAAAAAGCCAAGGCAAACATTCCAGAGAAAATCTTATCGTGGGAAACCAAAGAAGTGCCAACAGAGGGACGTCAGCACATTTCTCCGTCCTCAGGAGAGGTCTTCAAAAGGAATTATGAGAAAACATGGGATGAATTAAATGCATAAAAAACAAGAACCCTAACTAGATTGGTGGATTCTTTTAAAATCTAAGCTAAATGTTTGTGGGTGTGAATGGGAAACCCCCCCTCCCTCACCTGCTCCAGAATGAGGTGACCACACACGCTACACTTCTCAGCAGCCGCCTGGAATCCCGAAAACTGCAATTAAAACAAAAACGCAGATTAACGGCGGCTGAAAAAAGCAAAGGGTGGAGGATGATAAAACACGCCTTGACCCCAACCCTCACCATGTAATCCTCTTTACAGTACACAGAGCCGTTGACATTGTAGAAGTCCTTGTTTCTCAGGGTGCGTCCTGCAGAGGAGGTCAACATTTTATGAAATAATTTAAAAAGAGGTTATTATAAATGAAGGGTGTGACAGTGATTCTGCAGGAAAACTCACCACAGGATACGCAGGTGAAGCAGCGAGTGTGATAGAGGTGATCCAGAGCCTGGCAGGCGTTATCCGCCCCGTACACGCCTTTCCCACACTTCACGCAGGTGCCTGCACAGAGGGTTTAAGAAAACGCTTAGTGTTTACGACGGCATTCCAGGAGGATGTGTCCCTGAAACCCAACTCCACGCAGTGTCAACACTTGTAAATCCTCTCGTTCGCACCACCTAGGGGATTTTCACGCGGCTCGAACCCGGCTCCCCATGCCAGGCTGTTTGCTCATCCACTCATGCGTCTGTTATTAAAGGGAAACTCCACCGGATCTGGCTCTTCTGGCAGAATAGAGCGCTCTTTCTTCAGGAGTTGGAGGCTTAGGAGAGCCTTTGAGTTCCATTCAAACCCCCACATTTAGAGCAATTTGGGATGTTTTCTTAATTACAGGGCTTCTTTATTCACTTCAGGAGTCACAAAGCATCTAAACTTGTTACATTGCCAATTATCTCAATAATATTTTCCCCAAAGAATTGTTCATTTTTTTAAGACACATCTCCATCAAGCACTTTAAAAATAAAGAACCAGCACTGAGAGGTGATCCTAGCATCAAACCGGCCATTTATCTACAACCAACACCTTCTAACTGGACTGGTTCATGCAGCTGCCCGCATGGAAAGCAGATTCGTAGTCTGACGACAGTAAAATCTGTGCTTTCTGGCTATTGCTAGCGTCAAAGTAAGCCTTTTTTTTTTTTAAAGACTTAAAAACAAAGCCCCTTCTCTCAAACATGGTAACGGCACCATCATGGTGAGGGCTTACCACACTGCAATGTGGGTGGAATAATTAAGATTACATTTCAGTTCCTGAATAAAAGAAGATCCCAAACACTTAATGGAAGGAATTATTAGGAACTTTGACTAACTACAGCAACATCATCAATGACCTAAAGAGTGGCTGTGCACCTGGAAACGGTGCTGCATCTTCAAGCAGCGTATTAAATGTAAAACAGAGGCCCTGGTGGTCTGATGGTCGGCCTCTCTGTGATCTATTTAAGGGACGGCACCAAGCTTTTTTTTTTTTTTTTTTGTTCCCCTCATTCTTCTAATGTGGTAAAGGGAGTGCCACACAAATAAAAAAAAAAAAATCCTCCTCAGTGCTGCTTCAGGCTTTGGACGACC